GCAAGAAAGGGTGAGAGAGGTAGAAAAGAGAGAAGAGAAGACCCAGACAGAAAGAGAGAAGTACAAAGAAGTTTTTAGAGACAGAAAGAGAAGTAGAGAGTAAGGAAGGGAGTGGGATGAGGTGAAAGAGGCATAGAGAGAGGAAAAGAGAGACACAGTGATAGAGAATGGAAAAGAGATGGAAAAAAGGAAGGAGGATGAGATGAAGAAGGTGATAGAGATCAGGAGAAATAGTGAGAGAGATGAAGGAGAAATAGAGACAGAGAGAGGAGGAGAAAGATTATAAGAGTGAGAGGAAGTGGGAGTTATGGTAAAGACTGGGTGAGAGACAGGAAGAAGGAGTGTGAGAGTCAGAAAGTGAGAGTCAGAAAGAGGAGAAGGGAAAGAATTGGATAAAGAGAAAGAAAACAGAAGAGATACCCAAAATATGTACAGGGATAGAGGAGGGATAGTGAGAAGGAGAACAAGTTACAGAAGAAAGGGAGAAAGAGTAAGAGTCTCACAATGTCCTCTCTCCCTCTCTCTCACTTTCCATCTCTCACTGTTTTATTCTGATTCTTTCTCTGCTTTCTCCTCTTCTCTATTTATCAATCAATTTCTTTCCATCTCTTATTCCATTTGTTTACCTTTCCCTCCTTTCTTTCTCTGCAGCTCTCTTCACTTCTGCTTCCCCCCTCTGTCTCATAAACACACATGTTATTCCCCCTTTCTCCTCTTTACTCCTTCTCTCATCTCTTTTTCCTCTTTTCTGTCTCACTTTTCTATGTCTACCTTCTTCTCTAACTCACTCACTCTCTGAAACTTTCTAACTCACTCACATCTCTCTTCATTACTGTCCCTCTCTACCTCCCTGTTATCTCCTTCTCTTCTCTCATTGTCTCTCTCTCTCTTTCTCTCTATCCTCTTCATCTCACTTCCTGTCTGCCCCCTCCATCTTTCTTCCACATCTCCCTTCATTTTCTCCCTTTCTCTTTACCTCGTGTCTGCCCCTTTCTCTCTGCCACTTCTTGTTTCACTTTCCCTACCTCTTTCCCCCTTTGACCTCCCCTTCTCTTCCTGCCTCTCTCCTCCTTCTTCTCTTTTTCACTATCATTCTCTTTCCTTTTCTCTCTGTATCTCATTGTGTGTCTTACCCCCTCTTTCTTTATCTTCATTTATATCTCCCTCTCCTCCCACTCTCCCTTCTTCCATCTCCCCATTTCTCTTCATTTGTCTCTTCTTTCCCTCACACTCTTTCACCATTTTGTTCCCTCATTATCTTCTACCTTCCTCATGCCTTTCTCCCTCTATCTCTCTCTCCAAATTTCTCTTTATCTTTCTTCTCTTCTCCCTCTCTTCCAAACATTCACCTTTTCCTCTATCTCTCAACTTCTCTTTCTCCTATCTTCACTTCCACTCTCTATCCTCCTCCCCTGCTCCCTTCTCCCTCAGGTGTCAGAAAAATGGAGTGAGACACAGAGAGAGCAAGAGGGGGAGAGGGAGAATATAAGAGAAAGAGAAAGAGAGAGCTAAAGAGTGGGAGAAAGAGGGAGAGGAGCAAGAGAGAAAGAAAGAGAAGAAGAGAGACAGTGAGAGAGGGATAGAGAAACTGAGAGACACTGGGAGAGAAAGAGACAGCTAGGGTGAGGGGACAAATGAGAGGGAGAGAGAGGAAGAGAGGTGAGAAATACTGAAGGAGAGGGGGGGTGAAGGGGGAAAGAGAAAGGAGAGAGAAGTAGAGAGAGAGGGAGGGGAAAGAAAGATTCAAGTGAATAAGAGAGAAGAGAGGGTGTAAAGACAGAAGAGAAGGGGAGAGAGAAGACATAGAGGAGAAAAGAGAGGGAGAGAGAAAGATGAGAGAGGGGAGAAACAGGCAAAGAAAAAGAAGAGAGAGGGACAAAAATCAGAAAGAGCTGGAGAAGGAGGGAGGG